CGGAGAAAAAGCAGAGCAAGATGATTAGTCAGAACAATGTAGCAATGTGCAAAGAAGTCCCTATTGAAACTCTGTGATAAGCATCACGCAAAGTCAGAGCCACATTAATTTTCTAGGGTAAAGATACCAGACTAGGAATATAGACATCTTCAGTGAGATCAGTTAAAACTCTAAAGGCCAGCAGCAACTTAGCCTAGAATGTTTGAGTGTTCTGCAGATAAAGAAAAGTGTCTCAGCATAACCTGTGACTTCACTGTAAAATTTACCGTAGCCTGCTAAAAGGCCCAGCTTATTTTAACCGTACCTATGTGCTATATTTCCTTCTCTGATCCTAACCAAGTAATCTGCAACCTAAGAAAAAGACTAATTTAGTAAGGAAGCCCAACTATAAACAGTCCAAGAAGTTAAGAAGTAAGATTCTTAACTTACTTCAGCAAACAGGCAACAACCCAGCCCACCTTGGGGGCAGGGTAAGCGTTCTTAACTGACATGCTCCCAGAGGGAAACTGCTATCTTGAGAAAGAATCAGAGGCTGAAAATCTCCTCTGTTACTCATCAAGAATGAGCATTCTGGGACCACTCAAGAAGTCTGCACCTCTAACCCTTTATACCCTCATTCCTGAAAATCCTCAACCGCGCATAAATCCCCTAGACAATGAGCCAACAACAGACTCTCTTGTTCCCTCCTGGTGTGAGCTGGGAGCTCTGTCCTCTCACTTTATTTCTAAATAAAAGCCTGTACCTTGCTCTCCTACCTTGACTGTTTGTGAAGCTCATTCTTCAGCTTCGTGAACAAGAACCCCGGCATCGTGGGTAAAATTGTAACATTTTCTCAGTAGTTTGTACAGAGAACTTTGTGTCCTATTTTTATGTCTGAAACTGCTTCAGCCCCTCACATTCCCCCCTCTCCTTGTAACAGAGTCAAACCATTGACTCTTCAGTTTTTTTTTTTAGGCTTGGTAACGTTCTCTAATGAAAAGTAGCTTTACTGCCGCTAGTCTCTTCTGAATATAACTCATGAGACAATTCATAACACAGGGCCCTACAGCAACTACAAGCAGAAGGAGAGCAAGGGGACCTGCAAGGGCTGTCAGGAGGGTTGTTAGCCAAGAGGACCATGGGAACAGGCCCTGATAACAGTTTGCTGTTGCTTCCCTCTAAACCTCTCTTTCTTTGAGGTTCTGTCTCACCATAGCCAGGTATCGGTATCCCAAATAATGCCTGATTTGTTTGCATAGAAGCAGCAGGTTTCACCTAATGCCATGCAAAGTCGCCCTTGTTTCATGAAGAGGAGGTCCAGCCCTCTCCTATTCTGCAAGACTACCTCTGCTAGGGAGTCTACAGCTGACTCTAACTGATGGACCGAGCTCTCTAACATCCCTAGATCTTTATCTACTTGTTTATTGAGCACTTTGAAATTGGCATTATTCCCAAAAAAAGAAGCAGTCCCTACTGCTACTGATCCTGCTATTCTCAGCCCAACTAGGAGGGGCACTAAGATGGGGCTGCTATTTTTGTTCTAAGGGAATATACTAAGCCCATGTGTTCCCTACTAGCTTCCCCGTTATAGGGTTAAACTTGAGGGAGGATGTGAACCAAAATACAGAGCTCAGGTACCCTTGGTTCCCCTACACCAGCTGTTATTAATTGCTCAGACAAACAAGGGGTTAATCCGCTGGTACGAGCAAACCACGTGGCAGATGGGCTGACCAGGAAGTTAACTTTCTCACTAGAGGCGAGGGAAGTGTAGTTTAGAGTAGTTTAACAAAGTTTCTGAAGACTGGGACTTTGGGCTGAATAAGGGGAATGGATGCAAAACCCTGTGCCTTGCACATCTCCCAAGGTAAGCAAGGGGTGCAATCCCCACGGGCAGAGACCTCTGTCCCTGATCTCATCTAGACTAAAAAGGTGAATGTTTTCTCCTTCCTGTCCCAGGGTTGCATTTGTGGCTAGACCAACATAATGAGGTTTGGGATTTAGGCAGAAACAGCAATCATTTGTCAAATTGACAGTGGATTGATTTATAAATTTGTAGACTGACTCTAGCATCTCAAGTATCTGGTCAGGGGGTCTTGCAGTGGCCATTAACAGGCCGGGGCCAGGAGGTTCTGTTAGGCCAATATTCCCACTTGATGTCTTAGTTGGGGCTTTGGCATTGGGGTGGGGAGTTGCAGTGTTTCTCTCATTGGGAGGGGCACCGGATTTAACAAGGGTACCTCCTGGAGGGGGCACACAGGTTTGGAAGCTGGGGTATTTGAAATCTTTGGATAGTGAACTCAGTTCCTGGGTCCTGGCCCCTTATATATAGCCGGGGCCGCCAAGTCCTTCCCATCTCCCAATCCTTTCCCACACTATAAGGGTCCCTTTTAACTTTTAATTTTTGTGGATTCATCTTCCCAGCTGTATAAAGGTCAGAGAGGCTGTCTTGAGACAAGGAAATACAGGGGTCGTGGTCTGTCCAGGGGGCTATAGTTTCACATCCCCAACTTGCACAATGATAGTGTCCATTTCTCTGAGAGTGGGCACCCGCATTTCCTGGGCATACATAAAAATCTCACCTTTGGAATGCTCTTTGAAAGCCTTGTCATTCTTATTCGTAGGATACTTATAAGTGGCTAGTTCTGGCCATAGTTCAAGATCAAATCTAAAAACCAGGGGTCACTTCCTGTAAAACTAACAATATTCTTTCCCTAGGCTGTATTGATTAAATTCCATGAGTAATTTCCTGGCCAGTGGGGGTGCTGGGTGGCAAGGCTGGGAGCAGGTAGGGCCTCCAAAAACAATACTAAAACAATACATCTGAGTTTTTGGTTTTCCTTTTGAGTCTTATCCTTAGTGGGTCTTGGTTGGGTGGCAGCTTCACCACTGTTCAAGTGGTGGAGTTTTCCTGCCCCTCTCTGGCCAGCTTCAACTGTGGGTGGTGGATCCTTGCTCTTGCACCAGCAACCTTCACAGCTGTGGGGGTTGTCAAGATGACCAGGTAAGGTCCTCTCCACCAGGCCCCTAGCACCTCAGTCTTATGCCGTTTTACCCACCCGAGGTCTCCCGGCTGGAACAAGTGTGGTTCTGGCAGATTCTTTCCCTGTATCGCAGCCTTCACCAGAGAGTGGATTTGGCCTTTAAGGACTGTAAGGACTGCACAATTTCTTGATTAGAGGTTTCTGTAGCTTTTTCCAAGCCTACATGAGGGAGGATAGGAGGGGTCGACCAAACAGAATCTCAAAAGGGGTGAGCTTTAAAATATATGGGGTGCACCTTACCCAGAGAAGTGCCAATGGGAGGAGCTGTACCCACCCTTCACCAGTTTCCAAAGTTAACTTAGTAAGAGTCTCTTTTAGGGTCCGATTCATCCTTTCAATCTGGCCCGAACTTTGGGGCCTGTAAGCACAATGAAGTTTCCATGGGACATTCAGGGTGCTAACAACCCCTTGGGTCACTTGTGCCACAAAAGCCAGTCCGTTATCAGACCCCATAGACAGAGGCAACCCAAACCGAGGGACTATTTCATTTACAAGCTTTTTAACAGTCACTTGGGCTATTTCTGTCTTTGTTGGGAAAGCCTCTACCCACCCAGAGAAGGTATCCACAAAAACTAACAAATATTTGTACCCATATTGTCCAGGTTTTGTGTCAGTGAAATCCACCTCCCAATGTTGCCCCAGGGATTCTCCTCTCTCCCTATTTCCCTGTACCTGTGTAACCTGTCAGGAGGGATTTACTTGTTGACAGACAATGCAACCTTCCCCTATTTCATGGGCCATCCTACTCACCCTGGGACCCAGAAGTCTTTCTGGATCAAGTCTATCATTTTATTTTTACTCAAATGGGTGCTACTGTGTATCTGTTTCAGCAAGTCCTTTCCCAGCACAGCAGGGAGCATAACTCTCCCATCAGGGTGGATCATCCAGCCTTCACTGTTTTCTTTTGCCCCATACTCTGCAGCAAACTCTAAGTCCTTTCTGTTATAGTGTGGCTTTTCTTGCAACATGGATGGTGGAAAGGTCATGGTCAATTCTGAGGTTTGTTCCAGGGCCACTTCTCAGGCTGCCAGGTCAGCTGCACGGTTTCCCCTTGCCTCAGGCGAATTTCCTTTTTGATGTCCTGGACAGTGCATTATGGCCACTCTCTTGGGCCACCAAATTGCCTTCAAGAGTTTTAAGATCTGGGGCTTGTTTCTGATGTCTTTTCCTTCTGCCGTCAGAAGCACCCTTTCCCGATATATGGCCCTATGCACGTGGGCAGTAGCAAAAGCATACCTGCTGTCAGTATAAATGTTAACAGTCTGTCCCTTTCCCTCTGCCAAGATGTGGGTCAGTGCTACCAATTCAGCTTTCTGCATGGAGGAGTTTCGTGGGAGAGGTTCTGCCCAGTTTTTTCCAGTGTAACAACTGCAGCCCCTGCATACCATTCCCCATCCTTGGTGAAACTGCTACCATCACAGAAGAGCATCAAGTCTGGGTGGTCCATGGAACATCAGTCAGGTCTGGTCGCAAGCTCTGAACACTCCACCACTTCCAGGAAGTTGTGGAGGAGTTCATTTTCTGCAGAGTCAGGTAACATTGCAGCAGGATTCAGGATCTGTTGTTTCTGGAAACGGATGCAGGGGTGGTCAAGGAGCAGAGCCTGGTACTAGGTGATGTGGGCATTTGTCATCCACCAGTCGGGTGGGCCCTGGAGAAGTGACTCAACAGCATGTGGAGCCACAATGAACAGGTCTTGCCTTAGGGTGAGCTTATCAGCCTCTTTTACCAGGAGGGCCGTGGCTGCTACTGCTCTTAGGCATGTGGGCCATCTGGCTGCTACTAGGTTGAGCTGTTTTGAGAGATAAGCCACAGGTCTATTCCATGGCCCCAGCCTTTGAGTCAGGACTCCTTTTGCTATACCCTTTCACTCATCTACAAACAATAAGAAGGGTTTTGTCATGTCTGGGAGAGCTAGGGCTGGGGAAGAGACCAAGGCTTGTTTCAATGTCTGGAAAGCTCCTTCTTCTACCTCTGTCCACAACAGCAAGCCCTCCTTACCCTTTGTGGCCTCATAGAGGGGTCTGGCTAGCTCAGTGAACCGTGGGATCCAGAGCCTACAGTATCCAACAGTCCCCCAAAACTCACACAACTTCCGCCGAGTGTCCGGAACAGGTATCTGAAGGACAGCGTTCACTCTACTACCGGAGAGCAAGTGCTTGCCTTGGTGTGGGACATAACCCAGGTAAGCTACCTCTGACATGCATAGCTGAGCCTTCTTTTCTGACACTCTGTAACCCAAATCCTTGAGGGTCCTTAATAGATTTTTAGTCCCCTTGTAACAGGCCTGCTCAGACTCTGTGGCCAGAAGGAGGTCATCAACATACTGTAGGAGTGGCACTTGGGGGTTTTCTGCCTGGAATTCTTTCAGGTCCTTACTTAAAGCTTCATCAAAAAGTGTAGGAGAGTTTTTGAATCCTTGGGGTAATCTCGTCCACGTGAGCTGACCACTAGACCCAAAGTCTATCAGTCCATTCAAACACAAAGATGGGTTGGGATTTCGGGGCCAACGGGATAGAGAAAAAAAGAATCTTTTAAGTCCAGAACTGTGTACACTTCTCTCCTTGAAGGCAGGGTGCTTAACAAAGTATAGGGGTTGGGAACAGTAGGGTGGTAACTGTCTCATCTCTGCAGTTCACTTCTCTCAGGTCTTGAACTGGTTGGTAGTCCCTCATCCCTGGTTTTAGCACAGGGAGTAGAGGTGTATTCCACAGGGAGTGACATGCACCAGGATCCCCGCCTCTCTTAGGCGGTGTATGTGAACTTGGATTCCCCACTTTGCTTCTATTGACATGGGATATTGCCTCTGCCTCACTGGGGTGGCTTGGCTGATCAACTGAACTACCACAGGGGGTGATGTTTTGCCAGTCCTGGGGGGATTTCTTTTCAGCCCATACCCATGGCACCTCCTGAAGGAGCTTCTTTAGGAGGGGACTTGGGTGGGCTTCTCTGTCTCTTAGTATCTCCTGGCAAAGCTGATATTCTTCACTCAGAGGGACCATGAGAAACAAGGCGGTGGAGGGGTGACAGAAGGAGAATGTGGGAAGCATCATTAGGATAAGAAAACTGAAACACGTCCCCTCCCCCTGTTCTGAAAGATACAGAAGCACTAAGTTTTGATAGAAGGTCCCGCCCCAATAGGGAATAGGGGCAGTCTGGCATGACCAAAAAGGAACGAGTCACGGTCCCCTTGCCTAAGTCTATGTGCCTATTCATTGTCCACTGGCATGTCTCAGTTCCAGTTGCCCTCTGAACTACTACTTTTTCCTTTTTCAGTGATCCCAAAGGTGAGGTTAGGACTGAGAAAGTCACCCCCGTATCTATGAGGAAATGGACAGGTTTTCCCTCAACCATGAAAGTTACCCTGGGCTCTTGGGGGCCAAATCCTGTAGAGCCCCAGCCCCGTCAGTCTGCATCCTGCAAGTAAAGAACTAGGGTGGGTTGAGGGGCCCGGAGGTTCCGCTTTGGGCACTCCCTTTTCTAATGCCCATCTCTTTGCAGTGTGCACACTGATTTCTTTCTAGGGGGCTCAAGGTATTTGGAGACTTTGTCTGCTTCCCTTGTGGCCCTTTTTGGGGTCCATTTCTCTTCCTATCCTCCTTCAGGGCCATGACCATCACCTTAGCCATGGTTTTGGCTTGCCTATCCTCAGGTGTGTCTCGGTGGTTGTAAGTTTTTGGGGCTATTTCCACCAATTCAGACAACAATTTCCCTTCAAACCCCTCCATTTTCTGTAATTTCTTTCTATGTCCGGGGCTGCCTGTTCCACAAAGGCAATGTTTAATGCCCTTCGGTTCTCTGGTGCCTCTGGTTCTATGGGGGGTGAAACTCTGGTAGGCCTCTAATAATCTCTCTAAGAAAGCAGCGGGAGATTCATCAGGACCCTGAATGACCTCACTTACTTTAGTCAGATTAGTTGGTTTCCATGCTACTGCCCGGAGACCTCTCAGGAGCAACTGACGAAAGTGAGTAGATGCTCCCTGCCTCTGTCTGAGTTATAGTCCCAGCGTGGCCGCTCAGAAGGAAACACTCTCTCCACCCGACCAGGGTCACCTGTAGGGCGGCCATCTGGGCCAAAAACAAGCTTCACAGCCTCCCTCCTGATTCTGTCCTTTTCCTCAGACATAAAAAGGGTTTGCAGCAGTTGCTGGCAATTGTCCCAGGTGGGCTGGTAGGTATGAAAGATAGTCTCCAGCAAGAAATGAGACCATGTGGCTTCTCTGAAAAGGAAGGATTTTGATTCTTCCAGTTATATAAGTCACTAGTAGAAAAGGGGACATATACCATGAAGGGGCGAGGCTCACCCCCTCCTCCACCTCCTGCCATCTCTCTCAAGAGGAGGACTGAAGGAGTCAGAGGGGGTGAAGGAGGCAGGGCAGGGGTCAGAGGAGGTGGAGGCAGGGCAGGGGTCAGAGGAGGTAGAGGTGTAGGAATTAGAGAAGGGGTCCCAGGAGGTGGAAGAGGTAGGGCAGGGGTCGGAGGAGGTGCCAAGGGTTCAGGCAGATGGTATGCACGACCGCTCTAGGTCTGTGGAGGACTCAATGAAGGAGGTTGAGTTGGCTCTGAGGACTCTGGTTACATAGGGTGGAGGAAAGTCTAAGTCATCTGAATCTTGAAGAAGTATTGGGGCCATCCCTCCAGGTTTTGATTTCTCAGGCCTTGTCGCTGGCCTGCTGGCTAAAACAGACTGGGAGTGGTTAGTTGGAGGGCATAGGGGAGAAAGCAGAGATTGTTTCAGCCAGGGAGGACGATCTTCAACCAGAGAAATCCAGGCCATGATACAAGGAATTTGGTCAGTGTGGCCAGGTCTTCTAAAGATGACCTGTCGAACCCTGTAGCAAATGGAAAGGTCAAAAGTGCCAACATCAGGCCAGTCAACCTCAAAAGTGGGCCATTCCAATTGACAGAGGGTGGTCAGGTCTCCCAGAGTGACCTCGAGGCCTCAGTCAGCAGCTTGTTTCTTAAAGTCTTTGAAATGTTGAAGAACTAATTCTAGGGGGGTTCAGGAGACTTGAGGCCCTCTGTCCTATGGTCATCAATAATGGAATGACCATGATTACATAAACAATGAACAACACAAAAGACACACTATACAGCTTGTGCACATCAGGTGGCCACCACAGAGAATGAGACTGATGGGGAGGGTGACGTCTCACCTCTGCCCCTGACTCGGGGAGAAATGCTGTGTCCAGTCTCCCTGTTGAGTCAAATGGGCACTCAAACCAGAACCAGACTCACCTCCAGAAGATTTCCAGATGGCTCCTTACAAACTCTGACAGTTGAGGACTTGCTGATACCCAGGGGCCCACAGGTGATCAGTGATCTCAGGGTCTCAAAAAACTGCTCAATGATCGTGCCCGATCCTGGACGAGCCTCCAAATGTTATGGGTCTCAGATCGGACACGCCAGAGCAGGAGGAAAGAAACAGGTCCTCACAGAAAAGTAGGTTATAAAAAGGGAGTCTTTATTTTAGCTGGCCGGCGTCTGCCAGGGAGCAAGCTCTCCAAGTGCAGCCCGAGCCCATGTTACACCCTTTTAAGCATTTTTACCTCATCCTGCTTAGTTTTTGCAACTTTTCTGCCTTTGCCTAAATTCAGCAAGTTATATTCCTTGTTTAGTGCTTGGGGGGCTTAAGCATCCTGTTTTGCCCACCTGCTGCAGGAAATGTGTCATACTGCTGGTCTCTAACAAAGCAATGTACAGAAGCAAAAATAGCCTGGGGTTAGTTGAACATCTGGTTTCTCATGGGATTTATATCTTTTCTTTTAGTTTCTCAGAAGTTGGTACATGACTAGGGTCTGGGGCTAACTTTGCAGAGAGCTTTGTGTCCTGTTTTTATGTCTGAAACTGCTTCAGCCCCTAACACCAGAAGTTCTGGCTGTGGATGAGGCCTGCGTGGATGGAGCAGTGCACCCATCAAGATGAAGGAGGGACTCACAGCGCCTGCAGCCCTCACTCAAAGTGATGGCATGCCTCCTCAGCTTCATTTCCTCTCCAGTTTGGGAAGCGGAGGAGCAGAGGGATCATTGAGTTTTCCAGGTCATCCTGGGTTTCTAGGCTGTGAACATAGATAAAGAGACCTCCCTGACATGGGTGTGGAGGCAGCAGGGAGAGCTCCCACCACCCCTGGCCATGGGCAGGCCCCACAGGAAGGAAAAGGGTGCCTAACAACCCTACTATTTTGGTCACTTTTCCACCTGTCCACCCCAGCAACAGCCCACTCAATGAGACTGTTACAACCAGCCAATAAGCAGCTGTGAGGCATGGGGCCCCCCTTCCTCTATAAATAAGCTGCCTCTGCTCCAGTCTCTGAACTTGCCTGTGGTTCTGCCTCAGCCTCTTGCCATGAGTTGCAGTTCTCTACTGTTACCTGAATAAACCAATTTTGCTGCTGAAATAACTGACAGCTTTATTCTAGCAAGGCTCTGAAGCCTGAAGGCGAAGCCCACAATTCCTCAGCCCATTCCCTCCCTACAGGTGATAAAGAAAATATCCAACACAGCCGTCAAGGTCAGCAAACCACTTTTTCCCTCCAGTTGGCAAAGCCCTTCCAGCTCCCTCCTCCCCTCCTCCAGGCTCCTCTTTTGCCCTGTGCATGCCAAAATGCCACATACCAAATAATATAAATTGCTCCTCTTCCTTGTGTTCAGGGCTCAGACTTGGGAGATTACTCCCCTCTGGGCCTCCTGGTGTAAAATAAACCTCAAAATTCCCAGACCTCCGAGTGCTGCATGGATCTTCCATCAGTGATCCAGTCCAGGTTTTCCAGTATTTTCTATAACATTTGGTTCCCTGACCAGGAAACCCAACCATGCTGGCCCTTATTTTGCCACCCGTTTAGGGCAACGATGGGGAGGTGATAGAACAGGAGATCACAATGGAGAAGGTGTGACCTGCCTGACCCCTCAGCAGTCTACCACCAGGTTGTCCTGGGCCAGCTCCACTCCGCTGTTTCCACCGGATGCAAGGAGGCTTGGCAGGTGAGGACCTGGTTCTGACATCGAATCCGGTAAGGCCCTGGGGCTCCTGACCCAGCCAGTCCTACCCGTTGGGGTGGAAGGGGAGCCTGATCACCTCCTGGAGAGTTCTTAGAAGTCTCACAGGTAGACATTCCCAGGGGGGAATGTTTAAACTCTGGTCTGAGTGTGTGAGTGAGTGTGCAGCGTGGCTGAAGTCATTCAGTCTGCACTGAATTTGTGATTCCATGTTCTGTGCTATGGAATCTGAGTGGGCTCTCATCCGCATTCGTGGTCAGCCACCAAGACATAAGGTGACTCAGCTTTGGCTGACCGGGCCTGGGGACTTAACGGGTACACCTTAGTCAAGGCTGATCAAAGTCACCAAGAGGAGAGTGAACGGATGGGTATCTGACTGGCCTCCTCTCTAATGGAGGCACCCCTCCCTTGTCTGTTTTTGTGGTACTGTCCACAGACACATCATGGGGTCAGGGCACAGTAAACCATAGTCTTTGACACTATGATCAAGAATTTCAGGAAGGAATTTTCAGAAAACTACAGAGTAAAACTAACTCCTGGCAGATTGAAAACCCTGTGTGAATCTGTATTGCCCACCTTTAGTGTAGGGTGGCCTCCAGAAGGAACCCTAGATGTCCCAGCAATCCACTGAGCCTGGTGGGTCATCCCTAAAGATTCAGGTCTTCCTAATCAGTTCCTATACATTGACTCCTGGTTAGGAGTTGCCCAGACTCTTCCCCCTTGGGTGCTATTCACTTGCAACAGGCAGGGACAGGGTAGGGTCTTAGTTGCCTCAAAGAAGCCTACAAAGAATCAACAGAAGCCTGAGCCTTCTGCAAATTCTTGCTGGTGACCCACACGAAGAGCCAATATTGCCCCTACCTTATACGCCCCCAAGGCCATCAGCACCCAGCCCCCCAGTCCCACACACCCTGCCGCCATCAGCCTCCCTACCAACTCCAGAACCAGTGGACCCACTCTCCCCTGGACCAGTAGCCAGACTGTGCCCTCGGCCAGGAGCAGACACCCTTCAGATGCCAGTGCAAGAGATATGGGAGCCTGAAAGGTGTAATAAAGATGAGACCATCCAGCCCAGCTGGTCCATGTTTTACTATCAACCCTTCTCCATGACTAACCTCCTCAATTAACAAAACAGCACCCCATTGGAAAAGCCACAAGCCCTGGTTGATCTCATGAAATCCCTCTTCCAAACCCATTGGCTGACCTGGAAAGACTGCCAACAGCTTCTCTACACCCTGTTCACAATGGAAAAGAGGAGGCAGCCAGGGTCCTGGATTGGGGTGCATGAGCTGAAATCATCCCTGAGGAGCACCCCAAGTGGGACTTCACCATCCCTGAGTGACAGCACGAGATCCACCAATATCAGGATGCCCTCCCACGGGATCAAAGCCAGGTCCAAAAAGCCTATGAACATGACTGGAGTATCATCAGTCACTCAACAACCAGGAGACTCTCCTGAGGACTATTATGAAAGACTGTGTGAAGCTTATAGCATCTATACCCCCTTCAATCCTGAGTCATCAGGGAGTCAACAAATGGTCAATACCTAATTTGTTGCTCAAGCCACCCCAGACATCAGACAAAAGCTCCAAAAACTTGAAGGCTTTACTGGGATAAGTATCACTCAACTGATTAAAATTACAACAAAGTATATCTAAACAGAGAAGTTCAGGCCAACAGAGAGGCTGAAAGAAAAAGAAAAAGGCCAGCCTCCTGGCAGCTACTCTAAAAGAAAGAGAGATGACCAAAAGGCAGAGAAAAGCTGGCCACCAAGAGGGAGGAAGCCCAGGACCCCCCTTTGCCAGGGACCAGTGTGCTTACTGTAGAGAGAAGGGGCATTGGGAGAACGAATGCTCCAGCCAGGCAAAGCCCTGAGGCCCAGTCACTGCCGGGAGGAGCCCACAGGGAAAGGCTCGCTGGCCTGGCAGGAGCAGACTCAGCCTGACAAGGACCGGCTCTCTTGCTGTCAGCCCCTTGAACGCATGGTCAGAATGAAGGTGGGGGGACAACACATGACTTTTATGACTGACGCAGGGGCAGAACACTCTGTGGTCACCCTCCCTTAGCCCCTTTCAGTAAAGGACTGCAACTATCCTTGGAGCCACTGGGACAAAAGCAGTCCAGCAACACTTTTGCCAAGCCTGCCAGTGTGAACTCGGAGGCCACAAGGACCGACATGAGTTTCTCTACCTGCCCGAGTGCCCCATTCCCCTCCTCAGCTGAGACATATTCTCAAAGCTCAGAGCCCAAATAACTTTTGAACCAACTGGACACACCAGCCTCAAACTAAGCCCAGGCCAAGAAGAGCCAGGGTCCCTCATACTGGCAATAACCACACCCAGGGAAGAGGAGTGGAGGCTATTCTGTGCTCAGGCCCCCTAAGGTAGCCCACCTGAATCCAGAGCTGCCTCCCCCTCAGTATGGGCTGAAGACAACCCACCTGGACTTGCTCATAACTGAGCCCCCGTCATTGTAGAATTCACTCTGGGGACCTGGCCACAGAAACAGTGGTAGTACCCCCTCTCACCAGAGGTGAGAGCAGGCATCCAAGAACACTGATCAGACTCAGAGAGGCGGGCATTCTAACCGAGAGTCAGTCATCCTGGAACACCCTGCTTCTACCAGTCAAAAAGCCAGGAGGAGGGCACCAGCCTGTTCAAGACCTATGAGCTATTAACCGAGTGACTGTCTCTTTACACCCTGTGGTCCCAAACCCGTACACCTTCCTCAGCCAGATCCCAGGATCTGCCAAATGGTTCACTTGCCTAGACTTAAAAGATGCCTTTTTTTTTTTTTTTTGCCTCTGGCTGGTCCCCCAGAACCAGCTCTTGTTTGCCTTTGAATGGACTGAACCAGATACAGGGCGGCAGATGCAGTCAACATGGATGTGGCTTCCACAAGGGTTCAAGAACTCACCCACTCTCTTTTGAGAGGCATTGGCCACAGACCTCACCAGCTTTCCAAGGGAAGCCATGCGCTGCACCCTCCTGCAGTACATAGATGACCTCCTCCTTGCCAGTGACACCCAGGAAAATTGTGCAAAAGGCACAAAAGCCCTCCTGCAACTCCTGTCAGACTCAGGATAAAGAAGAGCACAAATGTGCCAGCAGCAAGTCTGGTACTTGGGCTTCCTCCTCACTCAGGGAGAAAGGGCACTGGGGCCAGAGAAGAAAAGGTCATTATCTCCTTACCCAGCTCCAGATGAAAAAAGGCATACAAGAGTTCCTGGGGGCCATCGGGTTCTGCAGAATCTGGATTCCCGGATTCTCGGCAATGGCAAAACCCCTCTACAACCTCCTGGGGGTGCCATACCGAGAATCCCCTGTCTAGACAAAAGAGGCAAGAGCCACCTTCCTGGAAATAAAGGTTGCTTCAGAACAGGCACCAGTCCTAGGCCTGACAGGTACAAAAAAGCCCTTCAGTCTCTTCATACATGAAAAAAAAGTAGCCCTTGAAGTTCTCACATAAACTGTTAGGCCCTGGCATTGGTCGGTTGCATACCTGTCAGAAAAAAGAAAACTAAACCCCATTGAGGCAGGATGGCCACCCTTCCTCAGGACACTGGCAGCCACAGTTCTATTCATTAAAAAAAAGTAGATAAACTTACTCTGGGACAAAAAAATAAATGTCAAGATCCCCCATACTGTTGTGTCCCTCTTAAACACACAGGGACTCTGATTCCTCTCCAACTCTCAGCTGGCACAATACTAAAACTCCTCAAGGCTGTCTGGCTCCCAGAAAAGTAGCAATTCTGTATTGCAAAGAACACCAAAAAGAAAACCTTATAACACAGGGGAACCAGCTGGCAGATAAGGCAGCTAAAACAGCGGCCAATAAAAAAACAGATAAAGCTCCTTCCCTCACCATGGCCCTAACGCCCTCAGTGGAGGCCCCTCCACCCAAGTACACTGAGAAAGGAAAGGACTGGGTCATGGCTGAAGGAGCCACCCTAAACTAAAAAAAAAAAAGAATGATGGTTGCTGCCTGACAGACACATCTTTGTCCCAACTGTAACCAGAAGGCAATCTAGTCAGCAAATACCATCAGCTCATCCACCTAAGAAAAACTGCACTAGAAGCCCTCCTCAAAAAGCAGTACTTAACCTGCCTTTGTAGCAGATGCAGTACAGATTTTAACTGAATGTCTCAACATTACCTGGAATCTGCACACTGCATACAGGCCACAAAGGTCAGGGAAAGTGGAGCAAATAAATCACACCCTCAAAAGAACCCTAGGTAAGTTTTGCCAAGAAAGTGGTCTCCCATGGCCAGATTCACTGCCCCTGGCTTTCCTGCATGCTCACTGCACACCTGGGACTCAAGACTTTTCCCCTTTTGAATTAGTGTACAGATGCCCTCCCCCATGTCTAGGAAGCCTCCCAGGGAACCTACACCAGATAGGAGATAAGATGGTAAGGGAGTAAGAGAATAGCTCTAAGCCCTAAGAGCCGCTCTAAATAAGCTGCAGCAGTACACCATAGAGAGAGCCCTGATCTCCTTAGGGACCCCAGTACATTCCTTCCAGGCTAGGGACTCAGTCTGAGTCAAAAATGGAAAAGGAGACCCCCCAAACCTCAATAGACTGGGCCCCACATTGTTGTTCTAATTACTACTGCCCTCAAAGTTACAGGCATCACTCCATGGGTGCATCATTCCAGAGTGAGAAGAGCCCATACTCCAGACAAAGAAATACATCAGTAGAAAGCCCAGCTAGACCTCCAGATCCTCTCCACCTCCGCATCTGACGATTACCCTCTTGACTAATGAACACCTGCACGCCGTGGATCCTGGCCCTCACCAGAATGGAATCTCTCATCCTGGGCATTAAACTCTCTGCTGCTGGCCCCTCTGACTAAACTGTTCCTCAAAAAGTTGTCCTTTCTATTGTCTATTGGGTAATCCTTAAGTTGTTTTGCTGTGCTTACCTGTCTCTCCTAGCTGAATTCAAGTCTCAGCCTACGTTTCCAAAGTACCTCTCTATAATGTTTAACTACAAAATTTATAAAGTGCATGGTCCTTACCCAAGGGAGCTGCCCTCAGTGGCCCTACACCTTTAGCACCTGTCCTCTCACACTCAGATAAACCAGCCTGAGTGTAATGCTCAGCTGCATAAAAATAAATTAGGACTGAAAAAAACTTTTTGTTAAGCACAGACTTATTAAGAGTCTTAAGGACTCATTGTAACCTATAATGCATAAAAACATAATCATTTGTATTCTTCACAAACTACTCAGGTCTTTAATGAAAAAGTCACAAGGAAAAAATCCTAGCTCAAGGACAAGCCATTAAAACCCTGTCATAAACCAAAAAGACGATGCCCCCTAAAATGAAGTGTTTAAAGGGGCATCAGAGGTGGGAGTGATAAGGAAAATATCCAACACAGCCGTCCAGGTCAGCAAACTGCTTTTTTCCTCTGGTTAGCAAAGCCCTCCCAGCTTCCCCCTCCCCTCCTCCAGGCTCCTCTTTTGCCCTACGCATGCCGAAATGCCACGTATCAAAATAATATAAGTCGCTACCCTTGGTTGTGTGCAGGGCTCAGACCTTGGGAGATTACTCCCCTCTGGGCCCGCTGGTGTGAAATAAACCTCAAAACTCCAAGACCTCTGAGTGCCACTTGGTTCTTCCATCAGTGATCCAGTCCAGGTTTTCCAGTATTTTCCATAACAGGGAGCATGGGTCCCTCCATGCACACTTGTGCCTGACCTACTTGAGGAAAAGGTAGTGCACAGCTTCCTCCCTGGGGACAGCCCCTATCTCCCTGAAATGCACACCCACAGTCCTAGTTCCTCAGATATGGTCTGGAATTCAAAGTAATACTGCATGTATCCTGGGTTTTCTAAGCCCTACGGAAGATCCTGAGCACCATCTGGTAATGACACATGTCCGTATATCTATTGTGATGCCTGTGGAAAATCCGCCAAGAGGGCTATAGAAAGACTAGTAGCCTCATAGCAGTCCGGGTCAGATTTTGTGGCCAAATGATTTACCAAAACCTTTAGGTGATGGGGGATTTTACAGTTTTACTACAACTGTGCGGATATTTTAATCTAAGGTTGCCGACAGATAGTGTTTCAGGGTGAAGGCACTGAGGCTGCACTGCTGGGTATCTGACACTGCAGAAAGGGCCGGCTTCCCTCAGAAAACCTACCAGACTTGCACCCCTGGCCTTTGCCACAACTGTCCCCATCCTTGTTTCTGGAGCTGGTAGAGCATTTGGCCTTCTTGTACCCTACCCTGGCCATTATTGCTCCTGGAGACAAACAGAAGTAAGGCTGGGCCCAGGCCTAAAAGAACATTTCCTTTTTTCACATTTGAAGGACAGAGGCAGATTTGTGCTTGTGCCACTGAAGGGCCTCAGGCCCAGTGACACCTCCTGCCTCCCTGGGCATCCAGGCTCATGAATTCAGTGTGAACACTTCACCTTCCACTCCACCTTTAACACAGCTCTGGGAGGTTGAGCCCTGCAACTCCAGTCACTCCAGTGGCTCCCAGAAGGTAGGTAACAGGGCTGCAGTTTTGGAAGAGTGTCCCCAAGTGCTATGCCAGCTTCCAGAACATGCTGTGCTTGTTCACTGGAGGGCTCCCTCTGCCTCATCCATCTCTGCCCCACCCTGGTCCACTCTCGTTCCTGTGGACTTCTCCACTCTGTGGGGCTCACAGAAGGCAGCTTCATCATGCTTTCTGTTTAGAATTCTCTTCCACTCCTTGCACACTGTGAAGTGCCCAGTCAGGGCTTGGATAAGGCCACCTAATGTTGTTAGAAAGTGATTAGGATGACCATCCAACAGTGCCAGCCTTCCACCACAATCAGCCCCTTGAGCTGCGTGAGAGAGGCAGGTTCTAAGGGGTCAGCTCTGTTATTTTCTTCCAGAGTGGAGCCTGGTCTAGCTCCTGAATCCAGAGGGAAGCTCATTGCAGGGAGCAGTGAAGTGGGCCTGTCTGAAGGAAAGGTGGGGTGTGGGGTTCTGGGAGAAGTAGGGGGTATGGCATGGAAGGAAGGAAGACATTTTTTAGGGGTATCAAGAAGTTGCTATCTGGTCTGATGGGAGTTTTGCAGATGCTCTATAGCCTTTGGGTTTTTTAAAAAATAAAGTCTGTCATCAGGGAGAAAAACCAGGGTGGGGAATGACAAGGCTGACAGACTGGCCAGGGAGAACAATGGGCCCCCCAACCTCTCTCCAGCCCACAGTACGTGAGAGGCACTCCTGCATGTATGGCACCAGGCTGCTGTCTTGGTGTACTGCAGCCATCCTCCACTTCTTGGAGGACCAGCATTTGTGGCTGGATCTGACCCAGGGTCAGCCCTCATCTGGCACCACAGGGGAGGAAGGGCATGTTACTGTGAGCACAGCTGGCTGGGGAGCCAGGGCCATAGGAGGGAGGGGGGCAGGTGAGGCTCCTCTGCCCTCTGGGATGGACCCCAGATTGGAGTTTGCAGATCAGTCCCTCTCAGACACTTAAGAAGACCTGAATCTCAAAGACAGACCTGCCTGTCTTGTTCAGTGAGGCAGTGTGGAATCCCACTGCTTTATTGTATTCCTCAGCTGTGAGCTTTTGGGCCAGGTGAATGTCTGTGTTGTGAAAACAGGACAAAATCAAATGAGTTCTGCCTCCCCCAAATCCAGCCTTGACAGAGAACAAGATGGATTCCACCAGGCTAACTGAGGCCCACAGCAAATGGAGCCAGAGGCTATGAACTGAAGGGAGGCCTCACACCTATTCCTTGGAAGACAGCTGCCCCCTGAAGCACAGGCAGCTTGAAGCAGACCCTGGCTGGGAAGCCTGCCAGTCAGTGGCAACTTGAACCAACCAATCAGGACTGAGCAAGCCCACATCCCTCACTGGCATAATGGACCTGCTCTAACCAGCTGAAACCTTTTCTATAAATGCCCCCTCTGTGTTTCCTCAGACCAGCAGGATGCTTTTCCTAGGCAAAGGTTACACCTCCCTGGTTTGCAAAATGTTTTTGCAATAAAGTCTCCTTAATTAAATTTCCTACTTTAAGAACAAATTGTTAAGAGTGTTGTCATTTTAATCTCTTGTTGGGAGATTTTGACCTCATGCCCTAGTCTGGGAACTCCTATGTCTTTGTGGAGCCTAACAAAGGATCTAGATCTCAGCACCACCCAGCAATCCAGATGCTTCTGGCTAGAGTTAATAGTTTTCTGTTCAAGATAGATCAATTGCTTCTTAAGGTCATGTATCTCCATGAATGCATTACCCTGCAGGTGGCTTTTTGCATCTGCTGTCCAGTTGCCGACCCAAAACTTGCCTTGGAAACATGGCATCTGAACATGTGGGTTACATGGGAATGGAACTGCCCAAACCACAGTGCATCTTAAAATAAAGTCAACCTAAGAAGCCTGGAAGACATGACAAGCACATGGGTTTCCCAAGGGGGAGAAGTCCAGGGGACTTGCTGGGAACAGGCCTGTGGAGCATCTCTGTGGTGGCCTATGTGAAGGGTCTGGCAGGCACAGAGCACAACTTTCTTTTACACTGAGGATCCCAATGGGCTGATTTCACTTCCTCTGTTACATATCTCCAAGAGGTAAGGCAGGCTTGGGGAAATTTTGACTGGGATTAGAAAATTCATCAGCTTCTTAGGAGTCATAAGCTATTATACTTGAAAGGCATATGGCACCCATGGTCTCCACACCAGCTTGGAACTGGATTTTCCCTAAGAGTCTCTGACTTGTCTGATGTGTTAATCTTCCCCACCTTCCCATGCATTGTGATGCTTGGCTGCGTCATTGTGACCACTGAGGAAGAGCTGTATGCTAATGACCTTCCAAGGGGACACCATGATAATGGCATTCTGCCCATCCATTAGATTTATCATCTTGTTTAAGCAGACCAAAGAGGCAGCAAAGATAAAAAAATTAAAAAGGTAATCCTCACCATGGTAAAGGGCAGAGACAGGGCCCATGGAACCCAAAAGCAGCCCTTTTGGTAACAGAAGATCCTAAATGGGAATGCAGGCTGCTTTGCTCAGGAAGCGGTGGTGTGATGCAGCTTGGCTCTATGAATCTTCAGTCAAGCTGTACTGCAACCCAGGAGTGTCTGGAGCAGGTCACCTTCTGTGGTCAGCTTTTGCTGACATTCAAGTGTAAGGTCTATCAGCTTCCTTCCAAACTGCTGGCCTGCAAAGGCCCTTTCTTGGCCACTAGTTGCAGAATTTTGCTGCTTCTCCCCCACCCCCAACTCTCTACCCCATCCTGCTCCTACTCTCCCAAGCATTACTTACATGGCCATCCTGGGGGTGGAACAGCTTTGTAAGCCACTTAGAAAAGACCAGGGCAAGTTTGACTAAAGATTTGGAGCTCCTCAATTTTCTTCCCTCTTTGGAGGTTTGAGTAGAATAATCCCTTTCCTGCCTTCCTCCTAGGTGACCTAATCTCAAAGCTCTGGAATCCAAGGAGACCCTTAGAAGGTGTTGAGTCGGAAACGTAGGAGAGGAGGCCAGTTGGTTGACAGGCTAATTCACAGTTCTGGGGAACCTGTTATTGTATCTTCTATTCTTCTGGAGAAAAGAAGTAGACTTAAATGTCAGTTATCATTTAGTGTTATGAATGGAGTACATCTTTTATTTATATTTAAAGGTCTCTCCCTCCCCGTGTGTTCTGTTCTCTGGCTGGTTCATGCTTGGAATTAGTGTAGGCTCTGAGTGGGAAGAGTAGGCCTGGTGAAAAACCTCATCACATAGCAAAGTACAACCCAAATCCCCCCAGGTGTCCTGATACTGATCTAGATTCTAAAGGTGGTCATCTCTCCTGGAGTGCCATGTGCTCTACACCCTGATGTCCCATGTGTGGGAGAAGAATGGCCGCTGTACAGGGAGATGGGCAGGAGCCCTGTGGGCCTCTCCATCCTGTGGGCATGGTTCTCAATTCCCAGGGGCCTCCTTGGGACATGGTCTGTGGCAGATGGAATGCCCGCTCTCCCTGGGCACCCACGATGGTACTGAGTTCTAAAAGGCAAAGAGCATAGGGTGAGGGGCTGGGCTGAGGCCCGTGTGGTTCCCTGGTGAAGAATGCCACTGAGGGAGGCAGGGCAGGGGAGGCACACAGGGCACCATCACCCCAAGAGATGAGCAGTGGGTTAAGGTGGAGGGACTGATTCCAGTGTGGCCAGGTGGGCTACTGGTTTGGTGTCAAAGACATGACACTGTCAAAGGCATAGTGGCTAGAATGGTACCAACACACTGCAGTTGGAGAAAGTGGGCGATCAGCATTTGCCTGCAGCACAGGTGACACTCTGGAATGGAGCACAGGTGATGCTCTGGGGTGGCTTGGCTGAAGCTCAGTTTCACAGCAGGGCCTCTTGGCCTGGCTGACTTCTCTTTTTTTTTTTAAAGAAATAATTAGGTAACAAAATTTATTCCAATATTTGTCCCAGATTATTCTAAGGTTGGTCAGAAAGGGGGATACATTTTGGACAGAGTATGATAAAAGAACAATGATGTAGGGAACAAACCTGAGTTTCTATCACTGTTACTAAGATTTGATAATAGTTTTAAAACATGTAATCCACTCTTCCAAATCAGTTATGAAAACCTCTCCATGATAATTCACCTTCTCATGGCAAGACCTAGAAAC